CCTTTATGTCATCCTGTGTAAATATCTACAATACACATGCATTGAAACATATTGTCATAACTTCCCTATTTGCCAGCAAAAGGATCAATTTTCATACTGTGACATATAGTTGATTACTAATTATTATCCCTACCACTCTGTTCCCTTAGCCACAATTTGTGGCTATTGAAGATATGGCCTGTGACTTTGTTTTTAAAATTTTGTGCAGGATAGTACCTGGCCTAAAGCTGGAATTTTAAAAAAAAGTGAGATTTTGTTTGGATTTACTTTCTATCTTTTGTTTCTCTAAAGTATGAAACGTTTTTACTCTAAAAAAGACCAAGTGAGGAATATATACTTTGTATTTTTTATAATAATTGATGTCCTTCTCAAGATTTTGCCACAGGGGCTAGCTCAGTTAAATTTCTTCTGGTGGTACTTTTTGTTTTCTATGAAACCAAATCAAACCAAACCATTAACTAGCACTAACTTTGAAATCCATCACTGCTTGTCTGCAGTTTGTCATACTGCAGTACCTTGCATGCTGCTATGATGCTAGAAGATATGCCACTGGTTTTTCAAATACTAACAGGGTCACCAAGTTAACAGGTTTCAGACTAAGAGACTACCAAGGAGGATCTGGCAACTCACTTTTGAAAAAAATAGCCAATGAATGTTATGATTAACAGAGGAACCTAACTTAATATAACACCAAAAGATAAGTTTCTCAGGTTGGAAAGCACTCAAAATACCACTGGCAAAGAGTAGCCTCCTCAAAGTAGAGTTAATGTTAATGACATGGATAGAGCAAAACTTTCAGAACCTTCGAGAACAGTTGCAAACAAGTATTAATATTGGACTATAGAATGTACAAAGCATGAATCTAGCTAAATTGGAAGTCCTCAAAAATTAAATGGAATGTGTAAATATCAGTATCCTGGGTATTCATGAACTGAAATGGATTGGTATTGGCAAGTCTGAATTGGATAATCATATGCTCTACAATGCAGGTCCAATTGAAGAGGAATAAAGTTACATTCACTTTCATAAAGAGCAATTTCAAGATTTATCTTAAATTACAATGCTGCCAGTTACAGGATAGTATTCACAATACCACCAGGAAGACCAGTTAATATGACTGTTACTCAGATCTATACACCAACCATTAATACCAAAGTTGAAGAAATTGAAGATTATTTTTTTATCAATTTTTTCAAGTTGATATAGATCAAATACAAAAAGGTGCATTGAAAATTAATACTGGTGGCTAGAATGCAAACATTGGAAATGAAGAAGATCAGTAGTTGAAAAATATGGCCTTGATGACAGAAATGACAAAGGAGATTGCATGACAGAATTGTGCAAGACCAACAACTTATTCATTGCAAATACCTTTTTTCAACAGCATAAATGATGACTACACATATGGACATCACAGGATGAAACACACAGGAATCCAATCAAGTGCATCTGTGGAAAAATATGATGGAAAAGCTCAATGTTATCAGTTAGAATAAGGATAGAGCCAATTATGGAAAACACCATTAATTTTTCTTATGTAACTTAAGTTCAAGTTGAAGGTGAGAAAATTAAACCAAGTCCACAAGAGTCAAAGTATGTCATGGAGTATATCCCACCTCAATTAAGAAATTATCTCAAGAATAGATTTGATGCATTACACATTAATGACTGAAGACCACTTGAGTTGTGAGATGATATCAAAACTATCATACATTAAGAAACTGAAAGGTCATTAAAAAGACAGGAAGAAAGAAAAGACCAAAAATGGATGTCAGAAGAGATTCTTAAACTTCTTCTTGAACACAGAATAACTAAAGCAAATGGAATAAATAATGAAGTAAAAGAACAGATTTCAAAGTGAGGCTCAAGAAGAAAAAAAAAAAAGTAATGAAATGTTCAAAGACCTGGAGTTAGAAAATTAAAAGAGAAGAACACACTGGACATTAATTAAGCTGAAAGAATGGAAAAACAAAACAAAACAACCCAGCTAAGCTTGATTTGCAAAACTGATGGATTCTATGTGCAAAATATTGAATGACACAAGAAGCATCCAGAAAATATGGAAAGAATACAGTCACTGTACCAAAAACGACTGATCAATATTCAACCATTCCAGGAAGTAACATAGGAAACCACAGTAGACAGTGGTGAAAAACAAGGCTCTAAGAATTGACAGAATACCAATAAAGATGTTTCAAGAAACAGATGCAACACTGGCTCTGTATCAAGCAATTTGTAAGACAGTCACTCGGTCAATTGACGAGAAGAGATCCATATTTGTGCCAATTCTATAAAAAGGTGATCCAAAAGAATGCAAAAATTATTAACATCATTATTAATATAACACACAAGTATAATTTTGAAGATAATTTTAAAAATGGCTGAAGTAGCACATCTTCAGATCACTGACAGAAATTCAAGCTAGATTCAGACAAGGACGTGTAATGAGGGGTATCATTGCTGCTATCAGATGGAAATAAGTCAAAAGCAGAAAATACTAGAAAGGTGTTTATTTGTATTTTACTGACTATGCAAAGACATTGACTGTGTAGATTATTACAAATTACATATGACAGTTTTCAGAATGGATATTCTGGAACTCTTAATTGTACTCATGTGGAACTTGTATATTGATCAAGAGGCAATTGTTCAAATACAATAAAGGGATACTGCAAGATTTAAAATCAAGAAAGGTGTGCAAGTGTTGCATCTTATCATAATTAGTCTGTATGCTGGCCAACTGATTGAAAGAGATCCATATTTGTGACCATTCCACAAAAAGGTGACCCAATAAAATGTGAAAATCAATGAACAGTATCATTACTATCATATTCAAGTAAAATTTAGCTGAAGATAATTTAAAAACGATTGTAGTAGTACATCAAGGAGCTAACAGAATTTCAAGCCTGATTCAGAAGAGGACGTGGAAAGAGGAATCTCGTGGCTGACATCAGATGGATCTTGGCTGAAAGCAGAGAATACCAGAAAGATGTTTATTTGTACATTTGGCTATGTGGATCATACAAATTATGGAGAAGACTGCAAAGAATAGGTATTCATTAGGAACTTGTACATAGACCAAAAGGTAGTTTTTAGAACAAAATGAGACAATGGTTCAAAAAAAACAACTACCAGTATAGATTATAATTCAATGTAAAGAAAACAAAAACCCTTACCAGTAAACATCAAGATAAATGTAGAAATAAACTTAAGGTTTTAAGGATTTCATTTTACATGGACCTACAATCAATGCTTATAGATTTAACAGTCACAAAATCAAATGATGTATTGTATTGGGCAAATCTGCTGCTAAGTTCCTATTTAAGTATTAAAAAAGCAAAGATGTCCTTTTGAAGATTAAGGTGTGCATGTAATAGTTAGGGTTTTTTTCAACTTGACTGGGCCAGGATTCTCAGTGGTTTGGCAGTTGAGATGTGGTTATCCCCATGATGAGAGCTAATATTACCAACTCTAGGATGAGGTCTGCTATGAGCAGCCAAAAAACAAGGGATGCTTCCTTGGGGTGTGGTCTGTTTCCAATATATTAAACACTCAGGAAAAGCTTGCTTGCTCTCTGCTGGGTCTGGATTTTGCATTTTGCTCATCCTCTGACCTTTGGTTCTTTGAACTTCAGCCAGTGACTTGCTCTATCATTCACTGATTCTGGGAGCAGCCTACTTTCTTACCTACCAGACCCACCTGCCTGCCTGATGTCTGACCTGCCAATCTTGATTCATCTACCTTGCAGCTACATGAGTCAGAAGCCTCCAGCCTTACATCTAACCCACAGACTTGAGATTGTCCACCTTTACAACTGTGTGAACTATTTCTTTGACATAAACCTCTCCTTATATAAATAATTATAAACGTCACTGGTTTTGCTTCTCTAGAGAAAACTGGATAACAAATAAGGAAGATGGGAGAAGAATTGATGCATTTGAATTAGGGTGTTGGTGAATAATATTGAATATACCATAGACTGCCAGAAGAACGAACAAATCTGTCTTGGGCAAAGTACAGCTGGAATGCTCCTTAGAAGTGACTTCATCTCACATATTTTGGACATATTATCCTGAAAGACCAGGTCCTGGACAAAGACACAATGCTTGGTAGAGTATCTGCAAAAAAGAGATGGAATGACAGTGACTGCACTGCGTGGATAGCACAGGACTACATAGCATTCCAGTCTGTTGTACACAGGGTCATTATGGGTATGAACTGACTTAATGACAACTAACAATAAATCTTAAAAATTGCCTTTTCCTTTTAGAATACCAAAGATGACAGCTCACAGTATATAACAGGTTGATTTTCATAATCAGTATAACTGCAGAGCAGTAAAGACAAGAAAAATTTGAGAAAATAATAGGTAAATAAAACAAAACAAAAAAACCAACTCCTTAGTCACATAAGTACATGAAAACAGGAGGAAGAGAACAACTTTTTCTTCTTTTTTTAATGAAATCCATGCACAAAGTTTGATGTTAGGTCAGGAAAAGTACAAACTCTAGAGATTCAGAGAGGTAGATTACAGTTTATTTGTATATTTTATTTTGTCTTTTTGCTAAAAATGTATAAATTCTTTGATCAGTTATTTCATATTATTAAAATCTTATAAAAATATACCAGTTTATACAGTTTGGAGTTTTTCCTAGGAAGAATCTAGCATATATAACCATCCCTCCCAGATGTTTAAGATAATCATAGCATCTAATATATATTGACTCTGCTCTACGAAAACTACAAAAACCTTTTATTTTACAAATGAATCAAATCAATGCATCCTATTGTAGAATTCCTCATCTCAGGTTATAATGTGAAGTGTCTGAATATTTCCTACTATTTATTACATTGTCAAGGTTTATCCTTGAAACATAACATCTAATAAGGACTAAATTACTATAGAAAATTTCTCATAGCCATTTCTTCTATTACATCATTCAACTATGCATCCTTTGATGAACTTTGGTTTAAGGCTTTCATGCATGCAAATACATTTTCTACAGGTTTTCCTCAATATGAATTTTATAATGATTAGTAAGGGATGATCTGTGATTGAAAAGTTTCCCACATGTGCTACATTCATAGGGTTTCTCTCCAGTGTGAATTCTCTGATGTGCAATTCGTGATGAGCTCTGTCTAAAAGTTTTCCCACATGTATTACATTCAAAGGGTTTCTCTCCTGTATGAATTCTCCGATGTTGAATAAGAGCTGAACTTTGGCCAAAAGATATTCCACATTCTTCACATCGATATGGTTTCTCTCCAGTATGAATTCTCTGATGATTACTAAGGGATGAGTTACACCTGAATGTTTTCCCACATTCATTACATTTATAAGGTCTTTCTCCAGTATGCATTCTCTGATGTTGAATGAGAGCCGAACTTTGTCTGAAAGCTTTTCCACATACTTTACATTTACATGGTTTCTCTCCAGTGTGAATTCTCTCATGAATAATAAGTGTTGAGTGGGAACTTAAGGCTTTACCACATTCATTACAATTATAAAACTTCTCACCAGTATGAATTATTCGATGTCTATTCAGGCGTGAAATAGAAGTGAAGCCTTTTCCACATTCATTACATCTATAAGGCTTTTCTCCAGTGTGAATTCTCTCATGTTGGATAAGTGATGCACTCTGACTGAAGGCTCTCCCACATTCACTACATTTAAAAGGTTTCTCTCCAGTGTGAATTCTCTGGTGATAACGAAGAGATGAGCTAGACTTAAAGGTGTTTCCACACTCATTACATAAATAAGACTTTTTTCTGGGATGAATTCGCTGACATCCAGGAAGTGATGACTTCCGACCTGGATTATATTTACAGGGATTTTCTTGAGCATGGATTTTTTGATGTATAAAAAGGCCTGATCTTCGGCTGAAAGATTTACCACATTCTTTACATCTGTAAGATTTCTCCACAGTATGGGTTCTTAGGTGTTTATAAAGGGATGTACTAAGAGTGAATGCTTTCCCACAGTCTTTACATACATACGGTTTCTCTCCAGTATGAGTTATTTGATGTTGAATTAGAGCTGAACTTTGGCTGAAGGCTTTTGAACATTCTTTACATTTAAATAATTTTTCTCCAGTATGGTTTTTCAGATGTTTACGAAGGGATGAATTATTAGTGAAGGTTTTCTCACATATATTACATTTATAGCGTTTCTCTGCTGTATTGACTTTTGGTTGGTTAAGCGAGTCTGAATTCTGTTTGTAGCTATTTCCTTGCTTTTCACATTTTGAGGGTGATTTTTCTTTATTTACAGTATGTTGCCTAACAAGGTCCAAGTTCAGGTTGAAGTTCTGGCCAAATTCAGTATTTTTATGGATTCTTTCTAGGATTTTTTTGTGAGTGACTGAAATTAACTGAAAACTTTCCTTTTTATTAGGCTGTTTCTTTAACCTGTCTTCATATGTGCAGGGTCTTTCTGATGTAAAGTCCCTTGGGCCATTCCTTTTGGATCTTTTTATTATCAGTTGCTGAAATGATGAATCTTGTGTTTGAGTTGACTTTGTGATTTTTTGACAGTTCTTCCAGCCTACAAAGAGAAGAAAATGAAGATGTTTCATGTAATATCAGAGTATCTGGCTACTGTGACTAAATATGTAGAATAAATAAACATTAATGTTTAAATAAGGTATCATAATCTTGCCAGAAACAGTAAAAAATAGGAAAGTTATATACTATGTAATAAAAAGTAGATGGTAGCAGATATACTAGGGTGAACAAAAGAATAAAGCAACCGCAACTTAAAGAAAGTGAGAATATAAGATTGGCTGGAGATCTAATAGAATGCAGCAATCAAATTTAATAAGAGGTGAGAGAAGGGAAGCCTACTCTGGGAAAGGCAGCCTGGAATCAGAGTCCAAAGTCTATGATAGACTACTAATGTAACTCCATGACATTTCTGTTCTTTATGTATCTGGAAAATTTACCTTTACCCACATGCCAAACTCCTTCGAATCCTTCAGGCTCAGCTCAAAAGTTAATCCTTGTGAGGGTTGGAAATGTAAAGGTAAACGTTTTGTAGCAAGGAAGGGAGTGATTAACTTTGCAGTCCAGGAGCAGAGGTCCCTGGGACCATCAAGGGAGAAGACCAGAGGACCCTACCCAGAGAAGCAGTGACGCCAGAGATGGAGGCAGAGACAATGACGTGGCGAGATGGAGCATATGGGGACTTTAGACCCAGAGAGGAAGAGGGGCTGTGTGCTGACTACCGGGGGGCAGGCTTGTAGTATATACCCTTTGGTTGGTTGATGATGCATGGAGGGGATTGTAACCATAGCAATGAAATGATATATGATAGGATAAATGTAAAACTAATGTTCTCCCATGTAAGCTATCACATAATTCACAATAAAACATCAAAAAAAAAAAAAAAAAAGTTAATCCTTCTATGAGTCCTTTCTTTACTCTGAACTTTCAGTTCATTCCTAAATGACCACAAATAAATCTTAGTTCCTACTAGAATATGATACTAAGATTTATTTGTGGTCACTCTTATGCTCTCACGCTCTTTAAATGGGTAGGCTTTGTTCTTTTGTTTACCCTAGTATATCAGCTCCCATTAACTATTTTCATATATTACATAATTTTTCCATTTTTTCCTCTTACTATTTTCTGTCAAGAAATTCTGGTATGTTCCAGTAGGATCAGTATTGGACTGCTAACCACAAGGTTCATGGTTCAAACCCACCAGCCACTCCTTTGAAACCCGGTATAGAGTCACTATGAATCAAAGCTAACTCGACAGGACAAAAACAACTATGTCAAAAGCAGATCAGCATGTCACATTGACCTACAGATCAATCCTCTTCATGGCATCCCAATTATATATGAGATAATTATATATTGTGTTGTTAGACTTCCTTAAATATAGCATCTTTCTCCATTTGAACACTGTTAAATATTCTTAATTCCTTATAAATTTCATATATACTTATAAAAATGAGTTATAAACACAGATGATTGTCATTATTAGTGGTAGCTATGTTCTATAAAATTATCACAAACACTGAATTTAGTAAATACAGAAGTATTGTTTCTAGAGGAAATACTGGGTTACATGCTATAACATTTTCATCCGCCAATCAATGTACAATCTTGTTTTATTTATGTATCTTTAAAAAGACACTTCATTTAATATATGTTGCTCATTTATTAATATATAGCTCATAGCCAACAGAACTATAACTCTTGTCCAAATGAAGCTTACCCAATATACATATATTTTTCATAGGCACATCATAGAGTTCTGGTAAGGACTTTACAAAATCAATAACAAAAAACACATACATTAGATGTTAAGATGCTTGATTGTCTTTTGAATCTTGGTTTCCCTTGGCTACCATTGTAAAATAGACACTTGAGGGGGAGAGAAAGGAATAGCCAGAAACATCACAATAGAAAGCCTATAACTGATTGGAATACCTAAAAGGGTGCTAGAACTTGCCCAGTGAAAAGAGGCTTCCTACAAAGCCTTTGCATTGCATAAGACCATAGGTGGAAACCTGAACACCATCCAGAATCTTCTGAGGTAGGAAATTTCCACTTGAAAGGACAAGCAGACCAACCTGGAGCAGCTAGAGGAACAGAAGATGCTTCTTGAAAGAAAGACCGGCAGGAAAAAGCAAAAACAATAACAGCAGTCCGATTAACTACTACAAGAACAAGCAAGTTGTTCGCCCAGGAGCCATCAAGGCAAGTGGTTGGGTCCCCTAAAAGCAAACCCACTTCTAAGACTAAGACCCAAGGGGAATACACGAGCAGGCATTTGGTCTGGCTGGTGACCACGTTGGCCACGAATAAGGGGAAGTGGGGAAAAAAATAGCAATGAAGTTCTGAGTTAAGTCTGACCATGTTCAATAGATTCCTGTGAACCTGGGTTGAGGCCTGGTTGGCCAGTAGTATGGCAAGACTTGGGGAACTCTTGGACCCAGAGACAGTGACATGGCCACAAAGGACTAGAGTGGAAAGTGAAGCATCCAGATGATATGAAGTGAGGGGAGATGCACAAGAACACCCACACTTGCAGATAGTACCCACTTGACCTGGCTTCAATGGCTGGCTGATAAGAACTTGACTAGTAGAAGGAAGAAGAGGGAAAACAAAGTAATCTGCTACAATTTGATGAACTTGACCTATATTTATGGATGTAGTATCTCAAAAGAGGGAACAAACTTTTACAGCGAGGATCATTTCCAAGCCCTCGGTACACAGGGTTGACAGGGATAGGCAACTTAGACATTGGCTACCCAAAATTGGGGGTGGGGTGGGGGGAACTACAAAGGCAGGAAGTGACTGGCTTACAAGCTTTTAAGAGAGAGCCTAGTTCCAGAGGGTGCGGGGAAAAGGTAGAATCTCTACTGAGTGGTTTCCAATCTGTTGGGACAGGGCTGATGAAAGGAGATGAGGCTAAGAATCTTGTAGTACAATAGTAAATAATTGCTATCAGGACTGATTGTGAGGGTCAGAATTGTAAAGGCAGATGTTTTGTAACAAAAGGAGTGGAGTAGCTGATATTGCAGTCCAGGAGCAGAGGTCCCTAGGACCATCAAGTGAGAAGAGTGGTGTGAGGGACCCTACCGAGAAGCAGTTACGCTACAGATGGAGGCAGAGACAATGACATGGAGAGATGGAGTGGCTGGGGACTCTGGACTCAGGGAGGGAGAGGGGCTGTATGCTGATGGCCAGGAGGCAGGCTTATGGTGTGTACCCTTTGGTTGTTTGATGATGCATGGAGGGGATTTTAATCATTTTAATGAAACGAAATATGATAGGATGAATATAAAGCTGATATTCTCCCATGTAAACTATCATACATAATTCACAATAAAAACTTAGAAACAAAACAAAACAAAAAAACACATACATTTGAAAAATTTAGCACTAAATAGATCATGAAAAAGATACCTATTTACAGTATGAGAGCTAAAACAACAGGTAGGATATTGTCTTATTTGATCTAAGATGGGAATGTGTGTGCCAGGTGACTCATTTTTTTTCCCCCCAGCTCTGTGCATGTCTGCAAAAGTGCCGCAAGTATTGATTTGAGGGGCATACATTCTGTCAAGTAAGAAAATGAAAAAATATAGAATCTGTGAGTAATGAAGATTGTTGTCAGGTGCCATTGAGTCGGAACTGACTCATAGCGACCCCATGCACAGCAGAACGAAACAATGTCCGATCCTGGGCCAACCTCACTACCGCTGCCACACTTGAGTC